GACAATTGGCATAGCACTTTTTAATTTATCGCCTTTTTCTATTATGCCGTTCATGAATTGGCTTCTTTTTTTTATGTTTATTGAAGAGGATTGCGAGGATTTATGGGACTATGATGAAGACTAAAAATACAGTAATTCTAGCAAATTTTATTAAAACTATCGTCGAACTTATGCAATAGGAAAACGGTAGAATATTAGGAATTTACAAGGGTTACAAGACTTATCCAATTTACAACAAATGCTTAATATTTACAGTTAAGTGGAAAAAATTATTTCGCGTCTCTCTGAAAAATTATAATACGTTGTAAAAATTGCGCAATACGAAAGAATTGAGAATGGACAGAACGTCGAATTGTTTAGGTCAATTTTTAAACAAAATTATATATTATGCTGCTTTATAAGAAGAAAAATAATTTCTCGAAGTATGCATTTATTTCAATTACGACGATTTTTTATTCGTTATTTTTTATATTTTTATTGTAAATCAGGTGGAAGTAAAGTAATTTCAGTTGGAGAAGTCTACACGTCGGACGCAGAGATTTCAATAAAATCGAGGCAAATACTAATATCTAAAAATCTTTATCGCTTTCTTAGCCTTTTTCAAATACAATAAAGATGGGCTGATTAATTTACAATATTTTTTGTACAATACAAAACTACATAATTCGCTCGTTTCTGCTTTATCTTTGGCTAAAATGATAGAAAATTATGTCCAATTCAGACTATTTTGCTTTTTTTAACGCCGTGAAAATTCGTGCAATTAAGAAGAAATTTTACAGGAAAATGAGAGAATATTTCATATTTTTCTTTTTAAATCGGTGCTATAATAGTAGTGAAATTTTCCACGAGTTGATGAACTTAAATTTGAAAGGAGTTTTTAATATTTTCTTTTGAAACTATAAGAGAATTTTTGGTAAAATTAAATAAAAATTAAATTATAATTATTTCCGTACGATCTTAAAAGACTTTTTTGGATTGAAAACGACTCACAAATGAGGTTTGTCTTTTTGCTTTTTAAAAAGCCTTTTTTGAAATTTGAAAAAGCTTTTGAAAAAATTTCAGAATTTTTCTTCTTTTATTTTTCAGAAAATTTATAATATAATATATAATATAATAAATTCACCTGAATAATAATTACGAAAAATTTTTTTTTGCATTTTTTTTATTGCATTTAAATTAAAAAGTTGAATTAATTTCAAGAAATTTCATTGTAATTTTACCGTTAAAATTTGCTGCGAGATACTTTTAAAAAATTGAAACTTTTCAAAAATGAGATTCCCAATGATTACTTTCGAAAATTAGCATAATAATTTTAGTAACTAAATGGTTAGTTATCGCTATTTCTGCTTAGGCTCTCCTTTTATTGTGGCCTTTTTATCTAAAGAGTTGCGTAGTGATAGAAGTAAATAGGTTGGTTGATCAAGAATATCGCTTGGATTTTCTAATGATGGATTTGCTTCTGCTGTGAGCAAAGGACATTCGCTTGCCCCTCCATAATTTCAGTAATTATCCATTCAATTTCCCTACGCCGTTATTTAAAAATTGTTCCTTCATTAAGCAACCTCAAAGAATTATTGAGAAAAAAGAGATTTCATTTCTTTTCAAAGCATATAATTTATATACGATTGAATTTTCCAGAATGGTTGAAGATTGGAAATAATAATTTATTAGTTGTGTAGATTTCAAATTCTTTTCAAATTGAAAATATTAAAAAAGTGGAGAAACTGAACAAACCTGAAAAATTCTTTAGTTGTTCAAGGCGAGTTCATAAAAGAGAAATTTAAATCCATTTCAGTCGGCATATTTGGCAAAAAAAATGGCCTTTGTGTGAATGCAATCGTTATTCTGTCGGATTTACAAATCAATACAGTAAATTTTCGATAAATGAATGCTATGAATGAATTTTCTAAATTTAAATTTGGATTTAACGGAATATTTAATGGAAGTGCGAGGATTTTCGATAAGCTAACAGGGCTACGGAGCAAAACGGGGTTTAGGAGACGAGAGGAGGGAGTTTGAGACTGTCGCATCGCTGTGGACCATTGAAATCGTCCTTTAAGCCATCGCTAGTTCCAATAAAAATCTCGGAAGAAAAGCGAAAAAAATTAAAAAATTGAAAGTCAAAGATTATAAATAAATTTTGTTCGAATTTGGTAATAAATAATGGTAAAATTGAAATCGAAAAAAGCATATGTTCGGTAAAATAAAATAATTTAAAATTAACAAATTTTTTAAAGCGGCCAAATCAAAGAAATATTAATGTTAATTATGGCAATAAAATAAAATTTTATAAATAAATATGTTCACATATTTTGTTAATTTTTATCATTGGAAATTAAATTTTTAAAAATCTAAAATTTCTACTTTTTTCCTTTATTCCTCTGAAACTACTCACCGTTTCTGATTTGCGTCGCTCTGTTCGCTATTACGCTGCGACTAGTTCGTTGGCGCTTGAAAGGCTTAAGTACCACTGATATATTTTTTTCGTCACACAGCAATTTCTTTCATATTTCCAGATTTAAAATCCTCTGAAATTTATGAAATTCTTATTTTTTTGTAGACTTTTTAAAGCGAAACTGTAATTATATATGGAATAATTCCAAACTAAATTAGAATATCAATTTAATTGAATTTTTATTTTATAAGAAATTGTTTCGAATAAAAATATTTTATGATCTTTGATAAATAATTATTTTTGATAAATAATTATGAACTATTTTCGAAATATTTTTAAAGATTTTTGATGATTAAATAAAAAATAGTGAAAAATTAATTTCAAAACAGCCAAATAAATAAAATAATGAACTTAAATTTTAAATGTTTTTTCGTTATTTTTTATTTTATATTTTGAAACCAACAGAAAATTACGATAAAATTTATCAAAGAATATTGTATTTAATATAAATTTTCATTGTTGAATTTTAACCTTTAAAGACAATCCAAAAGTGGAAACGAATCGTTGTTTTTCAGGAGAAAAAGAGTGTTTAAGGAGTTTCCGAGTATATTTACTTTTGCCGTGAACGAATGGCCATTACAAATTTAAATTTAAAGAGGTAAAATAATTTTTACCACATTGAATTTAATAAAGATAGAGGGAATAGGAAGTAAAAACCGTTCTAAATTAATTAAACTAATAAAAATGAGAAAGTGATCAGCCAATCATTTTTTGTTTCGGTAGCTATAACTATAGCTGAAAATTTTCTTTCCCGACGGTCAATTAACGATAGAAGTACAGGTGCATCGCTGGCTTGGAACAGTCAGATTCTTTAATAACAGGTTTATTTCTCCTGGAGGCTCAGAGGCATCGAGCCATTGTTTCTCAATACGTTAAATTCTACCATTATTCACTCGGTTATCCTGTCTCTGTTTTATAAATTAATTATTAACTTTATCGAGCGAAATTTCTTCTATCTTCGCTGCTTGTTTTTATAAACTAAAATAAGGTAGAGGCTTTTATAGATTATGGATTATTTAATGGAATTGGCAAACTTATCGATCCCAAACATTCAATAAAAAAATATTTGAGTTGGTTTTTTAGTGCCAAAAACATGAAAATTTAAAATAACTTGGAAAATTTTCAAAATATCCAATTTTGCACCATTTTTTTATGGCACAAAGAGTACCAAAATTATATGAAAATATGAAATTAAAATTAAAAAATAAAAAATGAAATTAAAAAATAAAAATATAAAAAAAAGTAAAATTATTAAAAATTTGGAATTATCTGCGATGTTGCTGAAAACCACTCAGTTAAATATCTTTTGGGATTTTTTTGATTTATTCGGCTTACGTAAGATGCATTCGTTCAAGATGAAAAAGGCTTTAAAACTGGATAAAATGAGATTGTCCTCACTAAAATTCGGAGTCCGATTCGGATTCGATTTGGCCATTAAAAAAGTACTTTACTTTATTCATCTATTGAGTTCGTATCTGTTGAAAAATTTTATCCAAATCAAAAAAAAATTGCGCTACTGATGAAAAAATATTTAAGAAATATTTAGAAATAAAGATTTAATTTATATTAAAAGCGTCAAACTACATTCATTGTTTAGAATATATTTTAAAAATCGTTTATAAAGATTTGTTTTATTTTTTATAGTTTATAAAACTTTTAAAAAAATTTTTTTTAAAATCCAATTTTCAAAATTAGTTTTTCATTTGTTAAGGGTGCAGAATTTAAGTTTTTTTTACATACATACTCAGCATTATTTTTTTGTTATAAATTTTTGTAAATAATGAAAGATAAAAATTAAATTTAAAAATTAGAAATTCCGAAAAAAAATTTTGAAACATCAAATTGAAATTTAATTTTTCTTAAAAAATCATACCATAATTTAATTCTAAATGAAAATTTTCTTAAATTTTCTTTAAATTATAAATTAAATTATATTATTATTAACTTAAATGAATTTTCTCTCTTTACATGGTAATTTACTGCTAAATATTATCAATAATAATAAATTACGAAAAATAAATTATAATAAATTATGAAAAATAAAATTAAAATTAAATAAGAATTTGCTTTTAAATAACAAGCGATGCTTATTCGTTTTTAAAAGAAGGGAATTATAAATACAAATATAAATATAAGTATATATATATATATATATATATATTGGAAAGATTCACCCAAAACTAAAAGCTATGAATAAAAATTTACGACTTGTTTTATGAGACCGTCGGCATCATAAAAGAAAAATTTACTCTTGATTTGATTGGTCAATTTTATAGGCGGAGTCTTTTTGATCATACCGACATGACTTGAACATCCAACTGATTAGCAGAGGCATCACACCATCACCAACATCACCACCATTATTACCACCACCAAATTCCCCATTTACTACATCATTATTATTATTTTTATTATTATTATCATTATTAAATATTACTCAATTATCGCCATTATTAAACCAAATTCCTCGTTTTTTTTTCCTTTTCATTTTTCTTTTTTATGAACAATTTTATTGGTGTCTTGAAAGTGGAAAAAAAAACTCAAAATGTATCCAACAAATTGGCAACCGTCATCGTCTTCTTCATCTATCGATGAATCCGTTCAACAATATTGGAATAATCATCATCAAAATAAGATATTAAATTCATCGACAGCCGCAGTTACATATGATCCATTATTGTATCCACAAAATTATATGAAAAATATGTTTGGTGCTGCTGCAGCTGCTGTCGGACAATGGGTCGATTCTTCTAATACGTATTTTTTTATGTTGTTTTTTCCAATGCTAAAAAAATTTTTTTCAGAAATTTCAAATAAGAATTTTCTTTTTTTTTCCATTATTTTATTTAGTAAATCTTCAATTTTTCATAGATTTTCATTTTTTAATAAATTTAAAAGAAAAAAAAATTAAATTAGATTTTAAATTTTCACTTTATAATTTTTGTTATTTTAGATTTGCCAATTACAATTCATTGCAATCATCGGCAGCACCAACAACAACAACAACATCGCATATATCAGTATTACCTAATGATCGATCATTACAAATTAATCAACCTGTATTTCCGTGGATGAAAATGACTGGTTTATTATTATTTTTATTAAAACTATTAATAGAAAATTAGATTTTCATTTTTAATAAATTTAAAAAAAAAAAATTAAATTAAGTTTACGATCGGTTGACAAGAGTTTATAAAAAGTGAAATGCGAGTGCTGCAGGAAAAACGAATTTTGTACTTCGATTCCCAAATGACTCTTTTATGAATGAATCGCATGCAGATTAGTTAGCGCAACCAACCAAATCGGATAGTAAAGCAATATGACAATTATTAGTGATTAGTAAAATAAAATGATAAATATTAGTGATTAAGAATGAAGTATCAGTATCACCTAATAATCGATCAGTGCAATCTATATTTCCGTTGATGAAAACTCTTTCTCTTTCATATGTTTTTTATCATTACTATTATTTTTATTAAATTTACCGATAGAAAATTAGATTAAATTTCTGATCCGTTCAAGCGATATGACAATTATTAGTGATTAGTGAAGTGATATGATTATTGTTAACGATGTTTTCTCACTTTTTTATTTAAATTTTTTTAATATTTCGTTTAAAAAAATTTTTTCAAAAAAATTTTAAATAATTTGATTAACTTTTGTTTTCATAAATTAATGTTGTTTATTAAAGAGAATCTTTTCATTTTCAAGGCATCGATCAATTTTCACATAATAAATCTTTTTTTTTCGTCTAAATAATGGGTGAATGGCTTAGAAAATTGAGATTAGTTTCGAGATTTTCACTAATTTTGGAAAATTTGTCATTTAATCCGAAAAGAAAACTGAAATTATGAAATTAGCGACAAAAATTTTAATATTTTCTCCAAAAATTTAGAATTTTTAATAGAATTTTTCAATACTTTTCCGAAATTTTTTAATTATTATTTATTATTGCATGATTTTAATTTCTACGATTTTCGAAAATATTTTCGAAATAATTTTAAAAATTTTTTAAAAACGTGAAATTTTTTAAAATTCTCTTCAAAAAAAATGATAAGGCAAAACGGCGGTAAAGTTATCACCATAAAAATATCATTTAATATCATTTTTGAAAAATAAATGATTCATTGTAATCTGTTTTGAATGAATAATGACCCACAACCTTTAAAACAATTAATCATGCTCACACGGGATTAACAATGATGTAAAAATGCGAAAATTTTGCTGAGTTTTAATGACCTATGACCCATTTAGAAATGTATTTATTTTTGTTTAATAATTTTTTTTGAGAAATTTTATTCGTTAAATTGTAAATTAATAAGGAGAAAAAACGGGAAAAAGAATTTTTTTCTGGCCATATTTTGATAAGAAAATTATTTCAATTTTTCTTTTACCTCAAACAACTTTACACAATTTTTCTTTCTCATTTAAAAAAACTTGAACTTTTAAAAATACCTTTATTTGACCTTTTAATTTGTTATGAAAAATCGCATTATCTATTATTCAATTAATATTGAATAAATATTAACATTAATATTAATTATTATTTGATTAATTATAAATAATTTCGAAAGACAGTTAAACTATTTTTGGAAGTAAATTTCTCTATTTTATAATAAATACTAAATAATACTTTTTCAATTTTTTTTATATTAAACTAACCTTTAAATTATGTTTTTTTTGAAAAAATTCTTTTTAATTTCCTGTTTTTCAAATGTACTTTTTTTTATGAACAAACGCTCTATCGCTTAATGACTTTTACAAATAAATTACTTCGTTTTTTGTTTTTTTTTTTTAAAAAATATTTAAAAAAGAGAATTTTTGAAAATATTCTTAAAATTAGTTTTCAATTAATTAAGTTTCAATAGTTTTATTTAATTTTTTCTTTCAAAAAAAAAAATTTTATAAGAATCCTATAAATAAAATTTGTCTTATAATTAATCTTTTTTGTCGCTAAGAAAGATTTGTGTTTGTGAGAACGAAATTGTTTCATTTGTACTGGGAAAATGTTAACGTATGTTAATTAATTTACATATTTTATTAAATAAGTTTCAATGGTACTGTACAATGAAAATTAAAAGATTTGAACAGATTCGATGTATTCGAAGAAAGGAAAATTCGACGAAAAATTTTTAATAGATGAATGAGAGAAAAATGTGATTTTAGAAAGTTGAAAGAGATTGACATGGGAAGTAGGCGAAGATTTAGTAGGTAAAAATGAAAAAATAAAGGAAAAGCGCATTTTGATAAGATACGATAGAAATGAGGAACGTCGATGATAAGCGAAATAACTATTGGATACAGATAATTTATGAGTATTATGATCACCGAATGCTAAAATTAAAAGCCACTAATCAAAGAACCGTTTTTAAAATTTTTAATTTCCAATTTTCACTTTTTCTTTTTCTTTTTTTTATATTCCTTTTTTTGACCAGAAATGTGATGATATATCTTGGTTTTTATGCTTTCCATGTGAATTCATATCTTTCAGTGGCTTATCATTAGGTTAATCCTTTTCCAGTAGCCCTCCGATTTTCGATTTATCGGCATAAATCTACCTCACTTTTGTTTTTTTCCTTCTTTATTCTTATTTGATTTTTATCATCGAATATTTCAAATTAAAAAATTAATGGAAAAAAAGGCGAATGAAAAATAAAATAATTGCTTTATAACTAATAATTTTATAGTGATTATGCCCAATCAAATTATAAATTATAGATTTTTTTCCAAGATTTCTCGAAAAATTTTGATAAATTAATGAAAAATTATTGAAAATTATTATTCTTCTCGCTAAATTTCTAGCTTTTTCTACTGACTTCTACTGACTTCGTTCGAGATTATTTAAATTTAAATAATCCTTAAAAACCTTAAATAAACCTTAATCCTTAAACCTCTTTAATGCATTAATGTTCACCTATACTCGCTAAATGCCTCTCGATGTTCCTCTTTCATGTTTCGTTCCTTAGTGCCCAGTTAATCCCGTTGTATTTTCTTGATAAATCTCTGTCCAATTCCGTGATAAGTTTGCAATAGAACGCTTAAGATTTTGCACAATATTCGGGAATATTAATCTTTTGCGATAAAAATTTTAAATCTGTGATTATTATAAAATTTCTGATATGATTTCTAGCATATTTTTTAAGATTTTAATTAAATAATAATTCAAAAAAGTTATCAAATTATCAAATTCTTCTTTTGGTATTTATTACTGATAAACAATCAGTTGAATATTTCAATAGTTTTATTCGCAATTTATTTTCCTTCATAGTTCTTGAAAACATACAGTTTTTCAATGGTAATTTAATTTATTTGTTTACTTTTAATTTATTTATTTTATACGAAAGAAAGTTAGTTGGAAAATAAGAAGAATATTTAAAATTTCATATTGCTCGATTACCTTCCAGTCTTTTTTATACTTTTAATAAACATTTTCAACATACTGTAAACGATTGTTGGAATTAAAAATATTTATTGATTTTAATAAAATACAAAAAAAATTCTGCATTTTTCCAGAAACAAACAATCGATAATATTTTTAGACGAAATTTTAGCAAATTTAAATGAATTTTAAGGAATATTTTTTATTAAAATTCCGTTATTTATTTTTTATAAATTCTTTAAATTTTTTGCTTCAATAAATAAGAATTATTCGTTTTCTTCCTTTCAACATTTTTATTCCAATTTTTTTTTTGAAAATTCTAAAATTCCAATCAACAAAAATATTTTTATACCGAAAATCGTTTACTAAATTGAACTGAATTTTCATCAGATTTCTATTTTCTTAGTTTTACTTCAATTACTTTTAATGAAAATGTGATAAGACGATAAAAATTATTGAATATGCAGAAACTATAAAAAATTTCATAAAGTTAGTAATTAAATGAAATAATTTTGATATATTTCCAGGAATATTTTTAAAGAAATATTGTTTTGTTGTCTGTCGTAATCATCATTATTGTCAACTTTTTTCTAAACCGAAATATTTATAGATTAAAAAAGTAAAATTAGTGGCAAAATTAATAACTCGTTAATTTCCTAGCTCTTATCATTATCATTCGACGAGCTGATTAGGGATTCAACTATAATTTAGAAAAACTTATAATAGTGATAAATGGCTTTAGATTTAAGCAAAAGTAATATTGAAAATATTTAGGATAACATGGATGTGTTTAAATGGTAAAATAGTACCAAAAAAAAGAAAAAGTAGGAAAAAAAGGTTTTTAATAAAAAAGAAAATTCGCATGTCAATAACTACGGTAAACTGACAGAATTCCTCGTTTCGATAATATATATGCATGCTTTATACTAATTTATTTATACTGAAAAGTATTTTGAAATGAAATTACTGTAATTAGGTTTTATTAAAACTGAATTATAACGCTGAAAAAATATATAATTGACAGGGCGATTATATGTAAACGAGCTGGGGAAATTTAAATTCGCAAAATAAAAAATTTTATAAAATTGGAAATTTTATGTGAAATGGACAATGAAAAAAGGATGAATTTTATAAGAAACTCTACAAGACATTATACATTATTACAAAATGCATTAATTCCTGAAAAATATTTTATTTTAAAAAATAAGCAAATATTTCCGAATGTCCGTCAAATGCTTAGTGCTATTCGTCGTAACTTAGAAATAAAGAAAAAGTCTTTTTTGAATTCATTAAATTTTTTTTTAAATTTACATTCATTAAAATGCAAAATGAATCTTTTTATAAAATATTTTTTTCTTTTTTTATTGCGAAAATAATTTAATTTCGCCATTAATTATTGTCCGATTTTATTGCTTTCAAAGATAGTTTTTTTTTTCTTTTTTTGCAACCATTTTGCGCGTGCAACAATCTTTTAATTGCATTTTTCATTTTTAGATAGGAGAATAACTATTGACAAAATTATTTTCGCCTCTTAAGTTTTCAATAATTGTAATTAACTGATAATACGAAGTTAATAATAATTGAATAGTTTTTTATTTAGCGAATATTTTGACTAAATTGTTGCCATTTTGATAATGATAACGATCTTTATCAGATGCGCAAACATAAACACGAAATGTGACAAATAAATAAATATTTATTTGGAAATTTAAAGTAATTCCGAAGTTATCGCTGAATATTTCTCGTCTGATTTTTATCTCTTTTTATTCGCATTTTGTTTCATGTACGTTGGCATTATTTATTTTTGCATCAAAATCAACGAATTAATTTTATCAAAATTCAAAAGTAAATATTTACAAAAGGGAAAAAATCCCTCTTCTTCGTAATATTTAATTTCGATTTGCATTTTTTTTTTGTAAAATCTTTCACATTGAATACAAAATTTTACGGAAAATTCTCAAAATCGTGGCATATTTTTTCGCACAGTTTGGGTAATTAGCGCAAAAAATATTAATTTTCTAGGGAAGCAATTTTTTCAGTCAGATTTTTCTAAGTTTTAAGATTATCTTAGATTCTTGAAAGAGTTTTTGTTAATTCAGCACATAGCCTAATGCGTTCTGATTGTGTACAAAAAGTCAACAAGCTTATCTTCGATAAACTATCTAAGGCATCAAAATTCATGCAATTATGTCTTATTTGTTTCATTCATCCCACTAATGACGATTATTTTTGCGTATTTCTATTTTCTTCGATTTATTTTGATTTTGAATTGTTACTTACTATTTTTCTGATAAATTTTCAAAGGTTTTTACGGTATATTGAAAAAATCTGATTGAATACGTTGCCAGATAGATAGATATGTTATCTGCTTCTCTTATTTTATCATGGCGGAAATTAATTAATTAGCTTAGTTAATAACTCACAATAACTGATACTTAAGGTTTGCTAGACTTTTGCTTCTCAAAAAAAAGTACCACAATGAGTTTTTCAGCACCACTCATTGTAGGTCCATTCTTCTCGATCGAATTACACTATGTCTTAATTCAACTTAAACTTATACTCAGCGAATAAACTAATAAAGTGTATTATATTATTTTCATCAATTTCCTAATAATTTGATAATTTCTGATAATTTATAACCAAAAGATAAGCGAAAAAAAATTTTTTAGGTAGTAAAGGAAATGAATCAAAAAGGACTCGGCAAACATATAGTAGAAATCAAACGTTAGAATTGGAAAAAGAATTTCACTATAATAAGTATTTAACGAGAAAAAGAAGGCAAGAAATATCGGAAAGTTTACAGTTATCTGAGAGACAGGTTTGTACATTTTTGCTTATTTCATTGTATATTTGTTAGTTGTTAATTGGTCGTATATCAAGATAATCTTAATGTCTTCTCGATTTGCTAAATATCGACGATTTTACGATTGCTCGAGGATAATAATCAAAGATAAAGCTGATAAGTGGTTTATCGAAAAAATGATAAGTTGAAAAAATAAGTTGTAGAAAAAATTCAACCAAGATGACTTTCTTACTATAAACAGTAGCTAATTTTCCTACTTAAAAAGCAATCGTTTCAAAAAAGAACTGAGCTGTTGATTTTAAGGCATAGATTTTAGTACTAACAGGTGTTTGACTTTAAATGTTAATACTGATCCGATACAATGCAAAATGCAAAGCAGATGTCTAGGAGAAATTTATTCCGTTCTCGGCTCTCGAACGGCAAAAATATTGAAATATTTTACTTCATAGTACTTTTCTGCGCATCGCATCTTATATAATTATCTGCAATTTTTTTAATTTAAATAATTCAAATTAACATGATGTAACTGTTTTCATAAAGTATACGATACGCATTTTCTGGTTAAAATAACGGAAATCCTTTATTTCTTGGTACTACTGATAATATTTTAGCAGATATATGGTGCATAAATTTATAAGAATTGCCTTAAGACCATATGAGTTGTTGTATAAAAGAGATATATGCGTAGAGAAGATTTATGATCATTTAAGAAATATTTGGAAATATCGCTTTTTTCTCCCTCTTGGTGGTCTTTTTTGCTTATATTTCACACTGTTATTGCCAAATAATCGTAGAATTTTTTTGTATACCAGAGGACGCAAGTTCATCAAAAAAAAATTCATTCTTTTTTCCAATTCTAATGTGATTTTAATAAAGAAATATAATGAATCTTTGTTAACTAAAAAAAATTCTACTTATATTTTTATAATTAAACTAAGGGAAAGAAGCGTTTCCTAAGGATAATTCTAATGATTATTCCCTTAGGAATTCTGTTTTGTCTTTTATTATGGATATTTTGGCATGAGTGTAAGTTATTTGGACCTCTACTAAGAGCCTAGGAATTTGAAGAAAGTTCCAGTGGCTCCTTCTATGTTAGTTTATTCTAGTATTCCAATATCTGACACTTTCCAACAGTTCGCTCATCGCCAGAGAGTCGTGGTTCTCCAATATCCATTGGAGTGTTGGTTCTCATAAATCTGCTGTTATTATCTAGTTTAGGCCTAACGAATTCTTGAACCAATAGGTTTGACTTATTAAAATCTGGCTGCCTTATAAAGTTAAAATATAGCGCTTCATATTTTGACTATGTGGATGCAAATTTAATCGTTGCTTCCACAAAATCTTTATTTCTTATTATACTGTATTAGTATACGATAGGCTTGGTTTTTTTTCTTGTATGGTGCGCGCATATTGATTTTGAAACATTTTTATCAAATTTCTTAACAAATCTTGTTAAAAAGATTTATTTTAATAAATCTGATAGTTTGTTTCCGAGGAACAATTTCGAAAATAAATTAAATGTTTTTTTTTGTTGAAAAATCATTAAAATTAGAGAGAATTTACAAAAAAAAGATATTATTACACAACTTTAAAACTCTTACAGTTTTTTTGCTCAATTTTCTAAATCATTAGATATCGAATTTTCTTATTAATTCGAATGTTTATCCTTCATCAATGTTATCAGTACATCACCAATCCTTATCAATTAATTATTCGATTTTTATTAAAATATTTCAGACTTTTTTGTAATAATTTCAGTTCATGATAATTTCAAATAATAATTTATAATTCACTATCCATTTTATGCTAGTTTTTTTTTTAAACTATTTTATATTTCAAAACTATTTCAAAACTTATTTAAGAATATTTGTTAAAAAAATATTTTTATTTTAAAATTATTTCATACAAAAAACTAATTTGAAAAATCATTTAAACACCGATATGCCCAAATATAATCGACTGAAAAATTACTGTACTACGCTAAAGTGCTAACGACCGAAATGAACCGAATATATTGTACCGAAGATACTTTAAGCAACAAATAGATTGTATCCATAACAAATACCATAAATAGGAATATTTCCTATATCTCTTTTCAATTCATTATCGGTAATGACATTTAATGCAGCTGCTAACTCGTATCGTATCGTATCTCATTGTTCTTGATCAATAATTGTTGTTTGATCGTATGGATCGTTTTTTGCAGAAAAAAAGGGATTGAAAAATATTTTTAAATGTATATTATATATAATTATAAGTTATTATCTTCAAATTTATAATTTCCATTATAATCATTTCTTTTAGAGGAAAAAGAGCGAAAAAGGGCGAAAATCGAAAATTTTTTCGAAATGAATGAAATTCAGTGTGATAAAATGAATGCAAAAATTTTTTACGGGAATTAAATAAAAATTATATAAAAATTCATAAAAATTTATTACGCAAATTTTCATAATTCAACCGACATTTATTAAAATTATCCTTATTAAATATTAATAAAAAATTTTAATATAAAATATAAAATTAAAATAAAACAAAAATTATCCTTCTAAACAAAAATTTAAATTTTTTGCAAAAGATTTAAATTTAGTTTTCAAATTTCAAACCAAAATAATAAATATTGGATTTTTTTTGAGGAAAATTTCCTGATATTATAATATTTAACAGCATTTAATTTAATATTTATTCTATTAAATAATAATAGAAAATGAAAATTTGAAAAATACACTTATTTCATTTGAAATAAGGGGGGTGGGTGGGTGGTCGTTTGTCAATAAATTCGTATAAAATATTACTTTGAATTTCCTTTGATCCAAACCGACTCTAAGAAACCATTTCTTTTTTTTTTCCTTTTTCTTTTTCATTTATCGAAAATTCCTTTTAATTTTTTAAAAAAAAAATTTTTCAAAAGAGTATCAGTCGCAGTATAATTTTCTTCGTAAAATATTCTCAATTTTACAATTTTCACAAAAAAAAACAAAAATTTATTTTAGTTGCGTTTTTCAATTTTAAAAAATTTTCGAATCAATTTTTGAATTAAAAAAATTTGAAAAATATTTTTTATTTTAAAAAATTAAAAATATTTTAATCGATGGATAAAATCGATGAACGATTAATGCTAAATTTTTCATGAGTCGAATTTTAGAATAATTCAGTGATCCCATTTCTAATTTGCTCTTCATTGGCTCTTGGCTTTATCACCATAGGATGAGATTGGTTCAATGAAGTTTCCTTATCTTCATCATAGGGACTTTTCATTTCTGATAATCCAGAAATCCCATTAAATTGTAAGCGATTATAAGCGAAATTTATTAAGCATCGCTTGCTCAATTAGATTATGTAACTTTTTTATTCGAAATATTTTTTAAATATAATTATTTTTTATTAGCGAAAATTTTTAAAAATAAATAAAAATTTATTTTAATAATTTTCTTAATATCTTCTTCATAAATTTCTCTTTAATTCTATTGATCGGTGAAAATTTTTATCGATTAATGCGTTAATTACTTGTTCGGGGTTCAATTCTCATCGGCTTTCTAAATCTCATATCAAAGTTCCATCGTTTATTTAAATTTTGAATGAACAAAATGAAAAAATCACTATAGACAGATATAAAAAGCTAGAGAAACACAAATTTCAATTATGTATATACACATTTTTTTTGCACTATTCTGCAGTATAGTAGAATCTGAACGAAATAAATTATCGATAAAAATAATAAATAATAATTAGTAGTTGAAAATAATTGAACTAATAATAACACTAATAATAAGGATAATAATAGTAATAAATTTTAAGAATAGCAATAATAAATAACGACTTAGTCAATCGCAAAATGATTTTGCATTAAATTCTTTTTGCAAAAAAATTTCAAAATTTGCAAATTCACTAGAAAAGTGATTAAAAAGCAACCGAAGAAAAATAATAATGACGAACTTTTTGTAAATAAAACCAAGTAAATTTTTATTAAATTTTTATTAAAATTCAAATATTTTAAATTAATGATTGAAAATAGAAGTTATATAAATTATATAAATTTATTTTTAATATAATTATAATTATAATTTATAATTATAATTAAAAATCGCAAAGAAGAAAATTGTAAGGATCCGATTGTATCATTTTTCCATTATTTAAAGAAGGGATAAGAAAAAATGAAATAAATGGCGAATTTAAGCGAAAAAGAGCGAACTAAGTATTCTTCATCTAAATAAAATGATTTGTATTAATTTATCGATAATTGTAGAAAGTATTTTATGATTTTTGAGATTTCTGAAAAAAATACTAAATATTAAATATTAAAAGACAGAAAACATCAGTGGACAATTAGTAGCCTTTAAATAGCCGGGATTGAAGTCAAAGTTCCGAGCTGGAAAACTTTGAATTTGTTAATAATTGCTTGATAAGCTGAAATGATCTAAAGACATAAAAAATTTCTTAGCTCTCATTATTTCCAGTGTTGTTAGTGCAGCAAGTAATTTTTGATTGGGGATCACTTGAAGATAAAGGTATACATATAGATGAGTTTTCAACACTATTCGGGTGATCTGTACCAAAAACCAGTCGGCTATTCTGCCTCTCAAGATCCATTTAAAGATCTATTTAAGATCTATCTAAAGATCTATTTATAGCATTAAGCCATATTCAGTTAAATAAGGAAAAAAATATGAAAACTTGGCTAATTCAATACAAAATTAAGGCAAATTGAGGAAAAGAATGAGTAAAAAATATTTTAAATTTAATATTATTTTTAAAATTTAAATAATTCTCAAATTTCTTTTTGAACGGTTAAATGAAAAAAAAGCCAATTTTAATAAAATAAAATTTTAAATTTATTATATTTTAATTCAATATGTTTTGAAAGAATTTTTTAGAGAAAAAAAACAACTTTAAAATAATTTCTTAGCATTTGTGATTTTATTAATATTAATATTAATTAATATTAATTATATCAATGATTATAACAATTCTTATTAATAATAATTTAATAAATTTAGGTAAAAATTTGGTTTCAAAATCGACGAATGAAGCATAAAAAAGAATGCAAAGGTGAAATAAATGCAACCAATGAAAGTGATGAAAGTGGCGATGAACAAATGACTGGGTAGGATTAAATCCATAAATCCTTACGGGTATTTATCAAATCATCATTTTCAAAATTTCTAATAATTTTTCGAAACAAAAATTTTATCGAATTTGTTCTACAAAAGTTTTTTTTCTATGGGATTATTATTTGATCTCAGTTTTTCAAATTAAAAAATACAATAAAAAATACTTTTATGTTTGGCACTAAAGTTAATTGACAGTGCTAATTGGTGTAAATTGTTGTAATTTCATGGATCTTCACCGAATATAGTTGCTAGGTTTATGTTTGGTACTTCAACTTTAAGAACTTTAAGTATAAAGAGAAATGGGTTTGCTTCTTTTAGAATTTTTAAAAATTATAGAGATTTAATGAACCTTTCGAAAACAGCCAAGTGCATGTGTCATGCATGTTTTAGATAAAATTTTTTATAAAATTTTTTACTGAGATTCCATAAAAGTATTTTTTGATTTTTTTTATTAGAAGGTTTTTTCTTGAGTTTCCTTTCTAAATTCGCGGAAAATAATTATTTCAAAAATTTTTTGTAAAAATTTTTGACGTTCATAGATAAATTTTTTTGGAAAATATTTATCAATTATAGATAGTTATTAATATTTTTAGATTTAAATAGCTAATGATATTAAAATATATCGAAAATTGCTTAAAAAATATAATATTGAAATTGCACTAATTATGTTTTTAATTTTTTTAAATTGCATTTCCTATTAGAAAACAATTTGTAAATGTTTTTTTGTTAACATTGTAAATGAGCGAATCCATGATATTTATATATTTTTTTTAATAAAAATGCTTTATTTATCTGGCTGATAGCAAAAAAAAAAATTTAATTTTAAGTTTAAAACATTTCAAATTATATGAAAAATATTTTAGGAGTTATTAATTTTGATAATTTCTGGGAATTTCACTTCTTCTGGGAGAATTTATGAATTTAAATTTAGATTTCCTTTTCGATTAAATTATTGCTCAAAGATAAGAGTTCGATTACTGCTCTTTGCGAAGAAAAACCTGAAAATATTAAGAAATCCGAGTACTCACTTATTTTTTTATCGCCGGCCAAGTGAAAATTTTTTTTTTTTTTAAAATTCCTTGAAGAATTTCTTAAAAGTAAAAATTCCTTAGCGAAAATTCTAACTCCATTAATCACATTAGTTAGTGAAGCTAAGTCAAGGTATATCCCATTCTGGAAAATTTTTAAAGTTAAATCTTTTGATATAAGTGACGTGGATTCAGTTATTGTCCATCGATGAGAGTATATTTGCCATTAAAACTGAGATAACTATTGGAGAGCCACGTATACTTACTCTCAAACCTAAAAGAAAGCATTACTTTACTCGATGACAAATCGGAAATCGTCCATGTGTATTTTCTAAAGTAAAAGAATAAATTCCTCTTGGATTTCAAAAATCTATATTATCCGTAAATAGAAAATGCAAAAAAAATAAATTCATGAGAGTTTCGACAACTTCGGCGACTAGATTATCATATAAAATTACCCACAAAAGTAGGAACTTGTCCTCCGATTATGAAAACTATTAAAATGCAGCTTCCTATGGAACCTTGGCAATAAATATTTAAGTAATTCTATAATTAAATTTCAATCAATTAAATTATGCAAAAAATTTACTTATTTTTTATTTTACTTTAACTTATTTTTAGGTTATAAAAAAAAATTTATCGATCAAACTAAAATTTGAAATAAAATCATTCGTTTTTTTCACCTGTCAAGTATTTTAATACGGAAATATTACATAAAAAATAGAAAAAATAAATAAAATATTTCCACTATTATAATTTACGAAAGAAAAGCGCCTCTAAGGATATAGTAAGTGATAAATAAATGAGCGATTAACTTTCAGTATTTTTAGCTAAACATTATTTACTGATAAGAAATTCGCCAGGAAATGGCAAACTTATTGATAAAAATATGAGCGAATGCATCGTTCGGATTTCTTTAATGTTAGTTTTATCCGTGCAAAGAGCAGATGCCGAATCGAACCTCTGGAAATGATAATGCATATTCGACCACATATAGATAATCATTGTTTAACGACCGTACTTCTGATATATTTAAAAAATTTTTTTTCCTCTCGATTTTTGATTGACTGATTCATATTGTGTTTGTGTCATTTTTGATATAATTATAGCAAATGTTAATGAAAGATACGATAGACGAAATATTTGTAGTTTTAACGGTACAAAAGGCTTTTAACATTTTATAAATTTTTTTTATAAAAAAATAAAAATTTTATTAAAAATAATAAAAATGAAAAATAAAATTTTCCATTTCATTCCCTAAAAAAACGAAAATAAACGATAAATGCAATTATTTTTCGTTAAATTTTTATTGTAATTTATTTTTCTATTTATAGATTTTTTTTAAAATTTTATATAAAAATTTTATAAATTTTTTTTAAAAAATTTATACAAAATAGTGATATATAATAATTAATTTTCTTTTTTTTTGTTATAATACGTTTGAATTCAATAATAAGAAAATTAGATGGAAGATGTAAGTCGCATAAATCAATCATCGTGAACGTTTTTTCTTCTTTTTTACCATTTCACATGCACGAAAAGATCCAAGAAAATCCACTCAATTAATCTAACAATATCGCTAAATCATGAAAGCAATTTTGTTTTATTTTTCTTTACACCATTATTATTTGTATTAATTTCTGAGGGATACTATTGTTATTATTAATATTGTTACTATTATTACTAATATTATTAATATTATTATTACTAATACCATTAATATTATTATTATTACTAATATTATTAATATTATTATTTTGAAGCGTTTATTGTAAACATATATAGAAAAAATAGTCTATTTTGAAGTTAATTTTGTAAAGAAAACGATTTACATTCAAAATATTTTTGATATATTAGATATTTTATAGATAAAATGGTCCATATTTAAGGCAAAGTAGAATATCTCTTACGAAATATGCATATAATTCTAATGCAAAGGGGGATTCGAATCACACCTTTCAATATAAAAAAATAATCAAAATTTGCTTAGTTAGTGACGAGGTGCATCGGCAACTTTAGTAGTTGAGAATGGAGAACTGCAGTGCCGGCAAAATTAAAAGATGGCAAAATGGGCGAGACGTTGCTCAATACACATGATGGTTCCACAGAAGGAAACTATCTTTCAAAAATTCGGATGATGCTGACCACTCATCAATGTTGTGATTTTCCGTGATAAAGTGATAAAACTTGCCTAAGACGATAACACCCATAACGAGCCCATTCTTTAAAAAAGCCACCAGTATCGCTCCAAATGATTGTCAAGATTTTGAGAAGCAATATTATCTCACAGTTCATACTGGAATTAATTTGCGGTGCAATTTTTCACAATCCTTGGAGAAACTTGAGAAACTTATGACCTTCGATAGTTCCTTGCACAAAATTTTTGCGCCATTCCACTCGTTAACCAGAAAATGGCCTTTATATCAGGTAACTTGAAAATACTACACATATGGACTGCCATTCCCATACCTTTTTCATTTTTACTGTGGAAGCTTACTTCATTTATGAAGGGACTGCACTATAACTCAACCTAAGCAATATACTGTCGTCACTTACGGGATTCGAAAAAATAAAATACGTATCACCACTAAATTCAATGCACAATTGCCTCGCTTTTTTTCAATATATGAATATTGCACACAACAATTCTTTTTTTTGTAATTTTTCCTTGATTCCACAAATGTAAGAAAATTTTTTACGCATGAAATATTATTTTCGCCATGTGTAAAGAATGCTGCAACGTAAATCTATTTAATAAAAGCTGGTTTTATATCAAATAAAAAGAACAAGAATAAAAAAGAAAAACTAGGAAAACAAATTAGAAAATATCTAACAAAAAACGATTAATCTAGCAATTAAAGATTAAACAATATCCATCCATTAAGTTTAATTTCGAAATAAGCATAGAAACAACCTTATAAATCAAAAGATATCCAGTTCGCTTTGTCCATAATACACCAATTCGGACTAGGAACATCGCTGGACAACCAATTGAAATCTTCAACTTTACACCAATGATTATTATCACAAAAATCTACAGTAATACCATTAACCTTATAGGGAGCAACATTAATATTGGTGCAATCCTCTATGACAATAGAACTACGTACCGCATTATAAAGCATAATATTATGAGAATTATACAAGCGTATTTGTTGTGCAGATACAACAATTACTGAATCATTACAATCTCTTATTAAAATTGATGAAGATACTGGTTTGAAAATTAACGTCGAAGCTTTGATTAGGTTAAGATATACTGCCGAAGCATTAAAAACAATCGATATTTGACTATTCTGGATATTTTTTACGACCACATCTTTGCCGTCATTATCGTCTAATTTCATACTTACACCATCCTAAAAATAAAAATAATCACAAAATATATCGTTAAAAATTTTAACAGAGAACAAATTGGTTCAAAAAACGAAAAAAAGAAAGGCGAATATAATCGTCCTTATCAAATCAATTCAAATTTGTTCTTTAATATACAAATTTTTAGTTATGTTTTTGAAATTCTATGATTAAATATGCACCAATTACATGAAAATAGATAAATCTAGAACGGCACAATCAAATAGTGCATTATAACAACTGCGACTATGCATCCTGAATTTTTTTACTTAAAGAGAATAAATATATGCTAAAAGAAGATAAAGATCTCTCAGTCAATAATAATTAGATAAAGAGCATTACTTACAAAAACTCGCGAAAAATTTATAATCGTCCTTATCAAATCAATTCAAATTTGTTCTTTAATATACAAATTTTTAGTTTTGTTTTTGAAATTCTATGATTAAATATGCACCAATTACATGAAAATAGATAAATCTAGAATACATCAAGAATTATCACATGTTAATTATAGAAAGACTTCTAAAAATAAGAAAGGAAAAGGAATAACAAAAGGTTTAAACAAAACAACCTTAGAATCAAGCTCGACTGAATTTTTTGATCGACTTTTAATATCCATCTTGCATACTTCTTGACCACTTTTTTCTGTGGTTTTAGGAGCCATGGTATTTTGTTGAACCAATTTCGATGAAAATGCGAAAGTATTCTTTTCGCCTTCATCCTTTATTTTATGATGCAACTGATTTAATGAATCGATTAAAAGTCGAGAATGATAACCTTTAGGAACCAATAACAAAGCATTTTGAATTTCTTCATCCAACTTTTTTTTTAAAACGTCATCTTCTCTCGATGATTTTAAAAAATCTTGGGTACGAGATAAAAGATCATTGATGAGATCCAAAGAAGTATTACTTCTGCAATTTGCTGTGGTAGTATTTTCATGACGGGCATTTAACTTTGCGATCATTCGTTGCCGAAGTTCTTCAATGCTATTTTTCAATAAACTATTCTCTTCCATGTTAATAATAAGGACGACTTTACTGGAAAAAATATGCTGACAGTGCCAATTAAAAAAATAATAAAGATAGCCCACTAAATCTGATTTTTACAGCTAATCGTATCGCCTGTATTGAGTACGTCGAGGGATCCAAGGTAAAAGTAATTGCGAATATGGTCGACCGTAATCTGAAAAGGAAATTAGAAATTTTTGAATTGAATAAAAAATTATCTATTTCATCGATAAAGAAATGAAAAATAAATGAATTTTCGTATTCTCATATATCGTATTCTCGAAAAATATAAGCTTACGATCTAGAACGCGACCGAAATCGTCCGGATGAAGCGATATATAATGTTCTGTTACTGCGTCTCGCGTTTTATTATGATATTCTCGGAGAACTGCTAAACCGTAACCGAAAGCTGATAGAGCAATTGCCGTCAAAAAACGAGCACCGCCAGCTGAAAAACATTATGGATTATTAAAATTTAACAAAAATTTAAAAAATTTAGCACTGGTAATTGCTTCGATTGCTTGAATTTACGGCGAGCAAGCCCACAGAAACAAATCTCCTTATAACTGGGATGGAGATGGATACTAGTAATTTACCCTCACCACTCTTCTCTAATAACTTTTAAACGAAATAGAATCATGGAAGATAAATCATAAATAATGGGTAAAATTAAAATTAAAACGAACAAAATATAAATAAAATATAAACATTTTAGTTATGTAAAAATAAAATTCATGGTTAGATATTACGCAATATGCCACAAACACACCAAAATAGACTGGTTTCCTTGACCAAGCTGCGTAAAAACAATGAAGTGAGAAAAGGCCAAAAAATGTAAAAGTGGCCGTTTTTGCCGGATACGACCAGGTAAACGGATCAACTAGATTATATGGACGGTTACAAGCTCGGAGATATGATTCACGACGTTTCAATTCCTCCTCATCAATTGTTGACATACCTAAAAATATTTTTATTCACTAGAAAAAAATTTTACATAAGCGTATATACAATTCGACGAAATTATTTGATCCAATGACAAAACTCAAGATTTTACATAAAATTTTTTCTAAAAGAAATTCCATGAAAGAAAACATTAAATTAACGATCAAATTTCGCTGGAAAACGTCCTTCTTCAACTAATTCATTCCACTGTGCAATCCATGATCGAGGACAAATATCTCTATAAACATTTTCGAAAAATTTGCATGGTTTATAATCGTCACCCATAAGTTCTTTACAACGATGAAAATCAACATAATACGTGAAACATTGACGCTGTTTACGAATCTGTGGAAAACGTGCATCGTATGGTGCTGCCCAAAAAAACGTTTTCTTATACATTTCGTTTGTTTCCTTATTGAACCATTCTGGTGAATCTGGATTTCTTAATGGCTTATCAGCTTCTGCATATTTTGCTATTCGCTCACTAAACGTTAGAGGAACTTCTATTTCATCAGCCATTTCTAAAATAATATTTGCAAGATTTATATTAAAAATAAATTTCAATTCATAAAACACCAAATAACGACCTCATCGAATCAACAAACAATCTTGGGCGGAGTTGTATTAATAACAGTAACCAATCAGACCAGAAATTTTTCTAAAGATAAAGATCATAAAATTAATAACTGAATAATTAACAGAATCGAATGGCTAAAGAATCCAATTGCTCTTTCCTTTCAGAAGCCGATATTGGGGATCTACTCTTGGCAAGTTTTTCAAAAATCCGGATAATGCTAATCATTTATTTACCCTTCTATTGCCAAATGACTGGGTAATACTACGACTGACCTGTATTTTCGACAAAGAATTCGCTGTTATAACTCTCCAATGCGACAAGCCAGCGGGGCGAGTTCAACCAGTAATGGTAAACTGACTTAGTGACTAATATCTGTCTGATCCGATAAGTAAAGATGGAGCGAATTTAACAAAAATAAGGAACAAAAAATTAAAAATTAATAAAAATTAATAAAAAAATTAAGAATAACATTCTTCAAAAAATAAATAAGTAACGAGGACTAATCGAGAAAATTACATTGTACATATTTAAAAAATGTTCAAAAAATCAAAATTAATCGCTGAATTAGAAATAAAAAAATACACTTAAACACGCCAAATTATCCAAATAATTTAATTCATTTCAACTTGTTTAAAATTGTTTTTATTTTATCGATCGATTTTACCTTTTAATAAATAGTAAATGGCTCAGTGGGTTGTTGGTCAACTGGAAGCGCCGATGCTGAGGTTCGATTCTCCGCAGGAGTAAATCCGGGGGATGCTGGCGACTCACCTGTACTTCTATGGCCAAGGGACTCCCTGGCACATTACCCAATGCGACAAGCCAGCGCGGCGAGCTTAACCAGCAATGGCGATGACTCTTGAAAAAAAAATTCATAAATATAAAAAATAAACTATGAGGGAAAGAATCAACAACGTCACCCAACTGCACAATGGAAAACATCGCAACAACATTCACGTTGAATGGTCTTGAAACGAAAAATGCATTTTCAACAATTGCAGCCATATACTTAAAAAAATTCCACCCACCTGACTTTTCTCAGCGAAATCAGCGAATAAAAGCAAAAAAAAATTATATGATTTACTTAAATTCTAATTTAATTGAAACGAATTGTTGGAACCAAAAAATAATGCAAACGTTAATTAATTTTCAAATATTTTTATTCGATCCGCACTGTTAATGCAGAATGACTTTTGTTTCAATAAAGTATATAAACCATTAAACTATAATTAATTAGATTTTACCTCACTTCAATGAATCATAAAAGCGAATCAAAACATTCTCTAAGAATAACCAAAATGAAAGAAACCAAAGAACCATTAAAATTATAAATTTGATGCTAAATAGACCGCGCCGTTATATAGTATTACTAACATTCAGCGCAGAGATATGTCGGCTTCGGTTAATGCCTTAGTGTTCACCGTTGTTTGTACTTATATAATTGTTCATGATAGCCCGTACTTTTTTTTCCAGGTTTAGTGGTACTAAGGTTAGATTTCAATGGAATTTGAAAACTTTCGCTATACAAAGAAGAATTTTTCATTATAAGATTAGCTTCACGAATTATATCAACAAAAAATTATTTTTTCAAATTTTAATAAATAATTTTCAATTTTAATGTAAATTTCACTTTGATTATTATTCGCTAAAAATAGTGATTTCAGTAATTTTTTATACCAAAATTATTCAATCACTTTATTTCATCTTTATTTCTCGGCTTTTTTAAACTTTTAATTTTTTTTACTTCTTTTTTTAGTAAATTTTCAGATTTATTCTTCTCACTCGATGCTTTATTGTTATTAACGAAGTGATAAGAAAGTGATAAGAGGAGCAACGAAGTCGTTATTTGTGTTATCAAATTTCCAATCTGCGGCCATGAACTTTGACATTTCGCATGTGATATGAATATTTTAAAATTGCTAAAAAAGAATTCGAAAGATTCGAGACACCGAAAAGTCGCTTTATTATGGCTTTTTTTTGATATTCATTTATAGATTCCTCGTTTCTTGTTCATCTTTAAGTCGTTTTATATAATTTTATGGTTCATTTATATTGGTTGGAATTTTTCAGGAAATGAAATCTATTTTTGGCTATTCGAGAAGAAAATTATTATCTGATGGCCTGGTTTCATTGATATATTTCTCACCGAAACGTTCAAAATCTGTCCTTGTTTGCGGTTTGGCTGCATCAGGCAGTTTGTACATAAATACTTCACCGCCAGAAATTTCGTCGCCTAGATTAGCTGAATTTTTTAAGAGGAAAACAGTGAAACATATTGCGGCAGGCTTTGGCTTTTCCGTTTGTTCTTCAAAAAATTGCATTTATGGTGCTGGAATTAATATTTTTGATAATTTAAGTATTAAAAATCCGGGTTTACATTGGTTGAAGAGTGATTGTGGTGGTGTTTTTAAGATCGATATGAAAGAAAAGGTAATAAGTTTATCGGCAGGTCGAAGGCATTTTCTTGTTGCAACCGAAGATAACGTTTATTCATTTGGTGATAATACTCATGGTCAGTGCGGTTTTGATCCAAAACAATTACCTTTTTTATTACCGAATAAGGACGAATTAAACGAACCGCTGAGGATTCCGTCTTCCTCAAAAGTTCAACAAGTACACTGTAGTTTTGATACATCTTTTATATTACTTAAATCGGGTGAAATTTTTTCATTTGGTTTGGGAACCGATGGGCAATTAGGTCGTGGATTAATGAATTATGATTGGAAATGTTTGCCATTTGGCGAGAATTTGAATTTATCTAGTGAAAAAATTACATCGATAAGCGGTAGCAGTGATACGTTGATGGCAGTCTCGAATGGTGGAAGATTATTCATGTGGGGACAAAACGAATATGGGCAGATGAAAGCATTTTGTAATAAAATGCAGGTGCATGAACCATTAGAAATTAAACTTGATATTGGAAAGGTAATTCAAGCCGCTTCAACAGCAACTTCATGTATCGTTTTATCATCAACGGGTCATGTATATGTGTGGGGTTTTGGCATTCTTGGTTTAGGACCTAATGTGACTTGTATTCACAAGCCTATGCTTATTGATTCAAATATTTTTCGCTGTGGACTTAATGATAATGGAAAAGTGAAAGATATTTTTGCCGGCAATATATCAATGTTTGCAATAAGTGATAATGATAATTTATTTTCATGGGGTGTTAATCGTTATTGTCATCTTGGTCTCGGTCATAAAAAGGATCAGTTCTTTCCTTTTCAAGTCAATCTTCGTTCCTCTCCTCGTTCTGTTTCAGTTGCACCTGATCATACTTTAATTTTTGTTAAATAATAATATTTTGTGAATATTTTATAAATATTTGTTTTCTTAAAAAAAGCAATCTTTTTTTTCGTTTAGCTTATTACTTTATTTATTGATTTTATTTGTCGAATAAAAAAATGGCTGAAAATGATTTGGATTAAAATTTTTTTGGCAAAGTGTTATCATATTATCACTGGTTTTTTTCTTTCTAGGAAATAAATTTTAATTTTAACCATCAATAATTTGAAGAAATGTAAAAGCTTTGAATGTTAATCGAAGTACTTGGTGAATAGAAATAGGCCATTTAATCATCCAAGGAGGGAGCTCCGTCAAAGTGTACAATTAGCAATTAGCAATGTTTAGTATTGTATGGATGAACTGATTCAGAATAGCTAAAAAAGAATGTTAGTCTTAGTGTGGATGATTGTTTTCTGGAAATTTGGTTAGTATTTATAAGACATGTTTAATTTATTCGATGATATTTATAGATATGGATGCAGATGATGATAAATGTGATGAAAAATGTGGTAAACTTGATAACGATAAAATTGATATCGATAGAGAAATTGATAGTGATTATGTTATTGATGTTGGTGATGAAAAATCGAAGAAATTCGAATTCGTCGTCCTTTGTGATTATTTAGATAAACTGTGGAAATTAAGGAAAGCAAAAAGAATTTTACGAAAAAAAATTTTTGATAAATTAATCGAGAAATATTCTATGTCAACCGATAATGCGACTTTGTTTCCATTGATAAGACTTATCATTAACAATTATGATCAAAGGAAATTCTTTATGAAATCAGTGAGTGAACTTTAATTTATTTTTATTTATTTTTGAAGATTAATTGCAAAAAAATTTAATAGAACCGCTTTCATATATAAAAAATTTCCTAAAATTCATAATTTCACTTAACTTTTCTGTTTTTTTCTTAATTTTTAACTTCACTGATAAGTATTTCACAAGAGGTATGATTAGGAATAAAAGGGTCGATAAGTGTAAGGATAAGTCCTTTATCCTTCTGTACGGTTCAGTGTAAAAGGATTGATAAGTGCCTTTTCCTTCTGCATGGTTCAGTATAAAAAAACAGATAGGTCCGCTGGCCGATTCATTATGCGGTTTATTTTCATATAGAAAGTTGGTAGACAGTTAGAAAAGAATGTTATTAAAAAATCATTTTGAGAAATATGATATTATTTTTTTTGAAAGTTTCTGGTTAATTTCTACCCGAATGTTGATTGTTATTAAATTTAAAATTGCGGTGTCTGCTTTCATAGCCAAAAGATATTTAGGTTTCGGTTAATTATGAAATTTTGTTATATTCTTCAGTTGAATATAAATTTTTTTTAGCGAAAATTGATAATGCAAACTTGCAAATCGTTTTTTCTACCCGATGATGTGAAAAAGAATTTATTACGGATTCAATCACAGGTTTTATTAATTGAATTTAATAACAATCAAATATTTGATCACTTAAAATTTTATCACTTTTTAGTCATTGATAAACTCGATAAATATAACTTTCTACCGAATTGCTAATTATTTCTAAAATAAATTCGTAATTTTTCAAATTTTCTGGAGTAGCAATATCGAAAATATCTAAGGATGGCAATATCATGGAATAATTATTAATACAAGCACATGGCGTTGTCGCCCTTCTTGGCTGGTTATCAATAAATAAATAAATTAAGCTGCATAAATTTTTCTTTCTTATCCGGTGAACCAGTCGAATTACCATTTTCATTCTATGAGAATTCCAAAAATGTCGGTTATAAATTTTTTTAATTTTCGTAAAAATTTTGTAAAATTTAAGAATTCAATAATGGCAATAAAACATTTATCAGTGGAATTGGCTGAAAGAAATTCTTCATCGAATAAAAATTTAACTATTTATGATATTAACAGTTTGCTAGATCAACTCCACGAGAATAGAAGTTTGTTTACTTTTACTTTTTTTCTTAGTCTGTTTTTTTTATTGATTATTGATATTATCCTTATTGTTATCATAAAGTGCTATGATATTTTTACGAATAGTTTGTTTTCATAAATTGATTTTTATTGATATGTTTGAGTTAAAGTTTAAAATTTAAAGGTTGTCGAAGCTTTTAAACTTTTTTTAAACTTTTTTTGCTTGTAAATTGTAACTTGTAAATTTGAAAAACATGCAAATTTTTCAGTTCAACTTGAAACACTATTTCATTCGTTCATATCTTCGCAGCAATTATTTTGGATTATCAATATAATTATCCGAAATGTTGAAGTAATTTGATTTTTTTCATCGTTTTAATAATTTTGAGATTTGAAAAAAATATTATAAATACTTGTTAAAATTAATATCATTTTAGATGATAATTTTTCCACTTTTGGCTAATTTTATCCCTCGTATGGTAAGAAACTGTCTGCACAAGTATTCACAATCGGGTGAATTATTTACTTGGGAGTGGGAGGAAGCTCTACTGCCTGTTACCCGGGAGTCCAGGAAAAATCATGTTGAAGAGACCTTCGAGACCTTTTGATATCCTCCGAAAATTTGAAATCTAAAAATAATCAAGATAAATAAAATAATAAAATAATAAATAATAAAAAATAATCTCTTTTAGAGAATAATTGGATTGCCTTCATCTCTGATCTTAAAATGGTTAAATCCGTCAAACATAAAGATGGTTCAGTCGGGAATCGATTTAAAAGAAATTTGTTCAGGAGGCAAAAATTTTAATTATTCGTTATTATTCAGCATGTTTGAACCAATGTTGTTATCACGAATAGAGCAGAAACATAAAAAAAATATCTACGATAATGTTAGTTTCGTTTTAATTTGGTCCTTTCTTTGAAAAATTGGACTTTAATGATTTTATAAGAATCAGTTAATAAAAATGAAATTTTTTAGTTAATAGAATAGTAGTTTAGTATTAATTTAATAGAAAAATCATCCATTAGCAAATGCTTCATGATAAATCTTAATTAGTATATGAATTATTTACTTGGGAGTGGGAGGAAGCTCTACTGCCTGTTACCCGGGAGTCCAGGAAAAATCATGTTGAAGAGACCTTTGAGACCTTTTGATATCCTCCGAAATCTGTTTCTGTGAAAAATCTCATCATGCATCCTTAATTAATTTCTTAATATTGCCAAAATCCCACTGAATTTTTCTTATGTCACTTTGATCGTGTTGTGCCTAATTAGGATTCCAAGTGTTAAGGAATATAAAGGGCCAGAGAGGGTATTCGGATCTGAAAACTTCTATGGAACGAATCTTTTTTGCTAATAACTCTATACTTTTTCAGTTAAAAATATATTGTGGTGATGTTTTTTATGCGGAAATCAAATACGATGGTGAACATTTTTTAATTCATCGAAATCATGAACAAGAATATCGATATTATTCTCGTAATCAGAACGATTTTACCGAAAATTTATCTGGAATATTAAATAATCGCATCAATGCGTTCTTTTCTTCATCGCTTATTAATTGCATTTTGGATGTCGAATTGATTTTATATGATAAAATTGCAAATCGATATGGTTAGTATTATCATTAAAGAATGTTCTAATATTTCAATTATGAAGTTTTTATGTTATTTCTTGGTTGCTCTACCAAGGAATTATCCAAAGAAATTTATTGTTTATGTGGGGAACAAACTCAAAAAATAAGAATTGAATGATTGCAGATAATGTGAAGGAATGACGTTTCTCCTATAAATTATGATATTTGTTTAAGAGCCCTCACCATTACTGGTTAGACTCGCTCCGCTAGCTTGTCGCACTAGACAAATATGCCAGCTAGTCTTTTGGCGGTAGAAGTGCCTCCACCTTCACCCGCAAATTATGGTACAAATAACAAATTATCAGTTATGACACTTTATCATATTAAAGAATTTCTGATAGTTTTAATAGTGTAAATTATCGTTTAAAATATATTTAATTATTTGTTATTAATTTGATTTACTTTTTTTTTCAGTTGGAAAAGGTAAAAAGGCGAGCGACGGGCGCATTTACGATTTGAAAAATTTGAAAGAAAGCGATATCGTAACGATACGTGTTGCAGTATTTGATGTTTTATATTTCAATAATAATTCTTTATTAGATATAAAATTCGAGGAAAGAATTCAGTATTTATATGATAATTCAATCTTCAGCAGTACAGATGAAGAATTTATTTTCATATCAATGTTTACGAAGATTTATTCAAGGTTACTGATAATGGTTTTATCAACCAGCTCACCTTGGGTTACATTAGTCTCATTGGTTACATTATCACCAAAGTTAATCAGGTTCGATTCTCTGCAGGAGTAAACCTGTACAAAAATCTGGGTGATGCTGGTGACTCACTTGTGTTTCTATCGCCAAGGGACTCCCTGGCATATGGTCCAATGCGACAAGCCATTGGAGCGAGTTTAACCAGTAATGGTGAGGACTCTTAAAAAAAATTGATGATGGCTTTTACAAGTTTTTCAATAATTCGCATTTATTTTGCGAGATGTTTTCAATTTTGTTATCATCCATTCAAACTGATGCTGTACCTTAACTTCTATCCTATTGTTTTTCTGGCCGAAAGTTTTTATCCTAGTAAAGCCCATCAAGTTAAAAGAATGGAAAGATGTTAGTAGATGTTAGTGTCATCATTCATTGTTTTTGCACTCAACACTTTGACAAGAGTGATATTTTGACAACTTTGGGCTTAGCGTTAATATTTAACATATAGGGCTTAAAAATATAAATTTATTTCAGATATTTAATTGATTATCTTCATACTGTTGAAAATAATCTTCTATTCTAACTCTAATAATTATTTATTCTTTTATTCAATTTATGTCCCATCTTGAGTTTTCCTTTAATTTTTTTGAACAAATCTTTAATAATAGCTCTAGAATCTATTTTTTATTGATTATTTCAGTGAAGATTTTATCAGTTTCTACAAAAAAGCAATAGAAAATGGTGAAGAAGGCATAGTTGTGAAAAAAATTGACTCTGTTTATAAAATCGGTGAAAGGAATGCAGTAAATGGTTGGTTTAAGGTTGCGTTTTTGAAAAGAATACATTGAAAAGAATACTATATATTTTTGATAAATTTTGTTATTACAAACGCTTCTCTTTTTTTCTCATTTCTCAGCATTTTTTTCCTTTATCCATTAGAAATTTTTGTTATACTAATAGAATAAGAATGTATAAATAGGCGATAAAAATTTTCCTATATTTTTTAGTGATTTCTTACTTTCTACTGATGAATTTATGAATTTATTTATACGCCTCGATGAAAATTTTATGACTCAATAAATTTAAGATAAAGCCATTCCATATAAGTAACGAAAGTCTTGACGTCGCTATCGTTGGAGTTGATTGTCGAGCAAATGGAAAAATTGAAAATTACTCGGTTGCTGTCATCAAAAGTAAGCCTTTCATATTTTTGTTTTTATAATTTTGAACATTGTTTTTTCTCTTAATTTTTGAAAAAATACTTAAAGATTTATTTCACGAGTGCTGATAAGCAATATTTGGTATGTTGGTAATAGTAATATTTGCACAAAAGAATTAATTTTTTTAGATGAAAAATTTTTTATAATCGGTAAAGTATCGATGGGATTAAAACATGTCACTCGTAATTTTATCAATTCAAAATTAAAAAAGAACGATGGATTATTGACGAATAAAATGATTCCAAAGTGGATTGATAAGGAATCAGTTAATAAGAAAGATATTCCTCATAAATTTGTCTACAAGGATAATATACAGGTTATCGAGGTTGGCTTCAATGTTCAATTCGTTTATTTTTATTCATTTAAATGTTTGACAAAAGAGGGATATTGGGTCAGTTGTATTGTATTTTTTAATAACTTTTCCTTTATTATTCATCGTTGATAGTTCTGATAATGGTGAATTCAAAAAGTCCTATTGATTCAATTAAACTATCAAGTAGACAAAAAATACAGCATCATTTCTTTATTTCTATATTATTTATTTCTATATTAATATTTTTATTTGAAAATTTTTATTTTTTATTAGTTAAGATAAAAGCGAGTGGAATCATCAATGGGAAATTATTGTTTCCGTCGATTCTATTTCATCGTTATGACAAATTAGTAATTGATGCAAATACCTATGAGGACTTTATTAATTATGAGAAGGTCACTTTTTATTAAAAGATTATATTCTTAATGGAATTTTGCAGTAATTTTGAGATTTTTTTACGTGACCCTTCACAAAATAAATTATTCTAATCTTACTTATTCAAATTTATATTGTTCATTCGAAATCGTAGTTGGTTTAAGGAATTTTGCAGTAAAATTTTAAATATTTGTTAATCGCCAATAGAAAGAAAATTCTGATGTAATGGTGGATGGAACTCTATTTACAACTGTAAATGATTTATGCTATATGAGATCGAGAATAATGAGAATTAAATAAAAGGGATAGGAAAAGCGAAGGTCAAATGCTGCAAAAAAAAAATTAAAACTTTTATAATTTTAGTGTAAAAATTATAAATGTTATATAAATATTTTATATCGGAAATCATAAACATTATAAATATTATATTTATTTAATTCCATAATTATTATGAAATTTATATTATTGATTCAAATTAAAATAATTAAAATTCTAAAATTCTATAATTCTATTTTTCTTTGTTCTGTTTCAAGGAATTTTGCGTTTTTTTGTCTTAACTAAAATAATAAATCACTGAGTGGTGAAAATTAATAGCGATAATAATGCAATAAATTAATTTTTGCTTAATAGCTTAAAATTAAAAGTTTGTGTAATAAGCTTTAAGATACCGATTAACGGAAATTTAAAGTACCACGTTTTTGATTAATTTATAATAATTTTAGTGAATACTAAATACTTTACTGATTTACGTAGAATATGCAAAAATGTACGATCCATTTTTATCGCTGTTTTATCACTTTAGCGGAATATTTAATTAGTTATTATTTAATAGTTTATTCGATATATTTCAAAATATTTCATGAAATTACAATAATTGGTAAAAAAGAAAAACATTATTAAGGCTCTTTTTTTGAAAAAATTATTCAATAAATATTTTTAAAAAAATATTTCATAATGATAACAATTTATTTTGTAAAGAATTTTAGAATCAACGTTCGAAAAGTTTAATAAATCTAAAATCGGAGAATTTCGGAGAAGAAAAAGGAAAAAACAATGAAACGAAAGGAAAAAGTAAAAAAATCGTTAAAAAAATTTCGAATAAATTAGAAAATATCGAAATTTGCTTATTGAAATGTGAAATTATGAAAGAAAATATTGAGGAATTTATTGAATCATTTGGTGGAAAATTTGTTGCAAATCCTGGTGCACTTTTTTTCTTCATTTTTTATGATTTAAACAATCGTAATTTATTAGTGCGAAAATTTTAGCTGAAATTTCTTAAATGATTACAAAGGGATCGCTTATAAAAAACGAAAAATTATCGGATTTTTGGCATCAATCGACATCGAAAATATTTAGTTAATAGATAAGGAAAAATGAAGGAATTTATTTAAAAACAAAAGAAAAATGATGCGATTGAGGAATTTGGAAATATCATTCTTTGATAATGGATGGTACCATTTGTCCTGTTAATTTGCCCCCTTTAAATGATGGCCATACTTAATAATAATTATATAATAATAATAGTAATAATAGTGATGAGTTAATTATTAGTTGAATTTATCAGAAAGATTTGAAAATTTTCAATGAAAAAAATTAAGGGAAAAATACAAATTTGATTTTAACCGATCAGCCAAATAATATAAAAATAAAGTCTTTAATAAAGGCAAATGAATTTAATATAATAAAAGCGGAATGGATTATGGACTGTGAAAAGAATTCAACGATCCTTCCAATGTTAGAAATTTATTTAAATATCTAAGTTATTTTGAAAATTCAATTTTTGTGGATTCCAAAATTTCTTTCCTAGAATTTCCCCGAAAACTTTAAAATTTATTCCGAATTCGGAATAAATTTATATACGAATTCAGAAAAAACTGAATTATTGGTTGATTCTTAAATCTTAAAAAATTTAATTTCGGTGAAATCCTAGAATAGAATTTTTTAAAAAATTTCTTGAATCATTCTTATTTTTGGGTCATTTATTAGAAAATTAAATTTATAATTTCCTATTGTATTTCAGTGATAATTCGTATATTATTCATGCAGTTGATGATCAGATTCTGTCCATTTTTCGATAAAAAAAAAAGCCATTCAATGCCACAGTAAACTATTCAGCGAAACTAATCAAGTTCTTCTTCATTTTGTAACATTAATTATATTTTTTTTATTAATATTAATATTTTAAAATATTTAATAATGTTTCCATAATTTTTAATTTTTGCCCCTCCTTCGTTACCATTTGATTGGCTATTTTCATAAGTACCGTATTTACCAGCGATTGTATACACAATTTATTGATTTATTGATCAATTAAATTTAGAATTAAATTAATATTTTATAAGAAAAAATGAAGAAAATTAGGAAGAAAATACTTTAAAATTAATACAGCAAAATTAATAAAGAACAGTGAAAAGTAAAGCATTTAAGAAAAAAGTGAAAAAAATTATAAAAATTGCTTTCTTTTTTTTACATTCCACACTACACATAACTTTTTTTTAAAAAAAAGGTACTAGTTGAAAAAGTTATTTCTTTGGTTATTTTTGCATTGATTTGCAGAAAATAAAAGAAAAATATTTTAATTTAATGCAAAAGAAAAATGAAAGGGAACAATTAATAAAAAAAAAAGAAGAACCCTGTATAATTTATAAGAAAATTACCTTGTATAATAATAATACCTTGTTAATAATAATAATATTAATATATAAATAATAACCCTGTATTTTGGAAATTAATTAAATTTTTATTATTACAGATGTAAAGTATCAATAAAATAAAGACAAATGGTTACATACTGATGGTTATAATTTGTATGATTGTCGAGATTTTATTATTATATGAAAAATTTTAAAAAAAAAAGTGATCCAAATTTTGCCACCAAATTCGGAAATTAATAAAGGAAAAGTATCGAACGAACTATTCCACAAGAACTATTAGATTTATCCCGCAGGAAGTGTGGATTTTAGGAAAATATGTTCAATTCAAGTGGGGATAAATTTTGTAGAAATTTTCTTTTATTGATACTTTTATTAAAATATTAAATTTGAAAAAAAAAAGGAAGAAAGCGAATTTTCAATAAATTTTGGCATAAAAACAAAGAAAACTATAAATAAAATTATTCTTTTTATGTATAATTATTAGTTAAAAGAAAATTACGAGTATTGAATGAAGTAAGGTGATGAAATGGTAAAGCTGTTGTTGTTGTTGTTGGAAAAGGAATTGTTGACGATGAAACTGTGGAAGAGGATGATGATGTTGGCTTTTCTTTATTCTCCTTTTTATGTTTCATTCGTCGATTTTGAAACCAAATTTTCACCTATAATTTTATTTTTTATTATTATTAATTGTAAATCATTATTACTTATTATTTGTAATTATTTTATATTTTTTATACTTTTGCTACTTACTAAGAAAGCTTGAAACATCGATTTTTTATTAATTGATTTGTTTTATTTTTTAAATTTTTTATGCAGACTTGTATTTTTTAAATCTAAATGATTGGCTAATGCTGATAATCCACCTCAATTTCCATCAGTAAGTGGCTTTCTGGTAAAGTCGTGCTAATAGCGAGTGGAATGAGCCCTAGCTTAATTGCTAAATAATTATTTAACTTAGATCTACGAATTTTTTTTCGATAAATATTTAGTAAAAAGCAGTAAATTTAGAAAAATTTGAAAAATAAGACCTGTCGTTCAGTTAACATTAATGAATGTGCGATTTCAATTCGTCGCTTTCTTGTAAGATATTTATTAAAATGAAATTCTTTTTCTAATTCCAATACTTGATTACGTGTATATGCAGTTCGTTGTCGTTTCTCTCCACGATTATTACCTTTAATTAATTTTTTATTTGAAATATTTATTTAAAAAAATATAAAATATAATAAAAATATAAATATTTATTAAATAATAAAAAAAATTGAAAAAATTTATTATTTATTTATTTATTATTATTTATTATTTATTTAAAAAAATTGAAAAATTTATTAAAAAAATTTTCGAAATTTTTTTTCAAAGAATTCGTTAAAAAACTTCAAAAAATTAAAAAATTAATTCTTTGATAATTTTAGAAATTTTTGAAAATTTTTGAGTGGCAAATTAATAGTACACATTTAATACATTTAATTTCATCCATTTCATTTCATTATATTTTACAATTAAATTTTGCAAAAAAAAGAAAAAGAAATGTTTGTCCAATTTCTTTGATTTTTATTTAAAATATAAGTCGAATTTCAATGTTTTTCGAATGTTTTAATTAAAACTTTGCTTTTTATGAATTTAGAAAAATAATTATTTAAATATAATAAATTTTATTTTATAATTGCCTTAATTTTATTGCATAAAATGAATAAAATAAAATGTATTAAAGTCGAAAATTGAATGAAGCAATAAATCACAAAATCGAAAATGCATCCACATTTGCCTTTTCTCGCCAAAATATCTTTATTCGTGATCAATATTTATTGAAAATTTATGACTTATCAAACTATATATATATAGATATATTTCAAGTGCATAATTTATTGCTATTCTTCATATAAATCTTATAAATATTCCTATTATTATTACTATTGTTATCATTATAATCAGCAATAAATTTCTTTTTTATTTATTTCGAAAATGACTAAAAATTAGGAAAAAAGTTATCTCTATTCAAACATTTTTATAGTTTTTGGAGAAAAAAATTCATTTTTCGCACTGAAATTTATCTGAGAATCAATATTTAGAATATTATTCAAAACGAATAAAAATAGAAATTAATAAAAAGATGAAATGGAAAAATTTAAAAAAACATGGGGATATAATTTCACATTGGGAATTTTTTCACTATTTTTCACTATTAGGATTTATGTAAAGAAAAAATTCGTAAAAAAAAGAAATTTCTTTTCATAAGGAATTTCAATTAAAAATTTCAATCTGGTAAAAATGAATTTTTTTGGAAAAAAACTGCCAACATTTCAAAAGAAAAATGAAGAATTATGCAAATTTTTTCTTACAAATAATGAGATTTTGCATGCTAATCGAAAATAAAAATTTTCTTATTTTATAAAAAATTATGGTATCATTCATTCATACATTTATATTTAAATATTTCAGAATTAGTAATTTGGCTGTCATTTTTATATTTGTAAATTTTCGTTTCAATGATAAATTACAGGAAAGGGGAATTTGAATGGTCGAATTTATATTTTATATAAAAATACTGAATATTATGCAGATGTGTATTATTCGCCATGAAATTATTTTTAAAGATGATTAAATTTCGAGCTGAAATTTTAGAAATTTTAGTTGAAAACATATTTTTATAAATTATTTTTATAAAAATAATACATAAAAATAATACAATAATACATTTAAATTTATTATCCGATACATTTAAATTCACATTAATAATTTTAATTTCATCTTAAAATGACTATTATTTGAAAAATTAATTTATGCGAATATTGAGATTCGCCATTGGGATCGCCATATTTTCAGTGACAGTTTTATTGCCAACGAGGGCCACAAATCGAAACTATAGTGTCGTTCTTGACCTTAATCCTGATCTTGACCTTAGTCGGAGCAATCTCCCTTTATTTATGCTCAAAACATCTTAATTATTATTAATTAATAATTAATAATTATTTTATTGCTTATTTTATTACAGGCGTGTTTTAATTGAGTTTATTCTATGGCCAAATTGAGCTTTTTTATAATATTTTTAATAAAACTGCTTTAAAAATTATTTACACTCCTAAATCATTTATTATAAATTTTCACTAGATTTTTTCTCATTAAAACTCGCATCGAAAACTCGTAAGATGAGTTTTATAAAATATATCTGAAAATATCCGGTACCACGAATGCCTTTCTTTGTCCATCGAACATTTGCACTTCTTGCACAATAGAAAATAAATCGTCTTTTTTTTGATAATGAATAAGAGACAAATACCGACAATTTGAAAAATATATGTTAAACGATTTATCTCCTGACTGTTCATTAACTTCAGGAGCTCCGACACAGCGGGAAATATGTAAAGTAAAACGGTGACTGCCTGGTTTTCAATGTGGTATAAGTACTCCACATGGCGTCTGTCGGCATTTTTAAATTTTTCTCGGAACGTTAAAGAGAATTTCAGATATCCCTACTATTGTTTGAATCAGGTTACAAAGTTACTTTATATACGTGATTTATCACACTGTAACAACACAATAAAAGTTCAAAAATATTCACGAAAAAAACGTCAAAAAACCAGTTTTGAATCATAGCAATCATATTATTAATCTCATTTAGTAATTTATAGCAATAAAGAAAGAGTATTCTGCTAATTGACTACTAATTGAGATAAGTAAGTAAAATTTGTGAGTGGTGCTCATCGTTTCCCAGTAAGGTTGCTCCCATTAGTTATTAGTATGATGCGATGCGAAAAAGAATTTTTACAGAAGCGTTGTAAATCTCTTGGCGATAGAAAAACAAGTGTATCGTTAACAATACCCGGATTTTTTAATGATATGCCTGCCAGAAGATTTCTCCTATTAAAATAATTTTAGCAAAATTACTCAAAATTTTGAATTATTTCAAAAAAAATGAAAAATTATAGTAATTTCGATATAAAAAACGTTTGTTAATGATGCCATTATTTTCGAAAAGTTACTTTAAACTTTGAAAAAAATTATAAATCACTCAGTCATAAAATCATTATTTTTTTAGCGATAATTTTACAATTTTGGTGGTTTAAAACAATTTTATTTGCCAAATAATTTAAGAAGAAAACCAAAATAAAACTAAAAAATAAATAGAATTAAATAAAATTTAAGGAAAAAATGAAAAAATGTACAAAAATCTATGTTGGCGAAGAGACAAAAATAAAAATGGAGTTACTCCATTCAAACTTTAGAGTAAAAGTAAGCGAGTGCCAAAGTATATAAAATTTCGTTATTTTTCTTCAAAAAACTTGTAATTTAAATTTTTTTATTGAAAAAACTTAAAAAGTTTTTACTAATTAATTAAAATGTTTAATTAATCGACAGTAAAAATTTTTACAGTAGAAAAGTGATAAAATTGAAACGAAAAGATAAATTATTTATCCGTTAATCATGCAAATTTATTCTAAAATCTACTGAAAAAAAAGGGAGAAAATTCTATTTTCCATTTCAAACATAATTAATTACTTTTTTGTTTTAATTTATTTATGGCCTCTTTATTATTTATTAATCTTTTTCATTCACACAAAAATTATTTTTATATTATTTTATATTTGAAATAATTGGGGACTTATGCATGGTTATGTTCATAGATTAAGTAATAAAAATAATTTTATTATGAAACTGTAATAAAACTGTAATAAGTAATAAAACTGTTCCAATTTGTGAGAGTTAGCCTAACGAATAATGGTGAAAGCTAACTCATTTATTTCGGATAACTAGGCAGAAGTAAATCTTTTATTAAAAGTAAAACCCAATGTGCTATGGATATCAGGTATATTTCGAACCTAATCACTAACCGATGGGTTGAGCTGGGCGCTAACCATTTGCTTCAATCTACTCTAATTCTAAATAGTGATTTAAATTGGAAGAAAATTAAAAATAATTAATAAAAATAAAATAAATTTAAATCGATTAAATCGAATGGCGATGTTCTTATCGATATTTACGTGATGAATCAATTAAAAAGATACAAATTTTTGATAATCTTATCAGTAGAGGAAAAAAAGAGAAAAAAAATTGAAAACAAAACAATATTATTAATGTAATTATTGAAATTTACTGCTTTTAGAAGGAAATTTCTATGACAAAAATTGATAAATTATCAAAATCTTTGAAAGAAAAATATTATTTATTACAGATAATAATGATAAACAATCATTTAATTGTTCTTAGGAAGAACAAAAAAAAACTAAATAAAATAGAAATAAAAAATTCAAAAAACATTTTTGGAAAAAGCTTTAATTATATTAATTTATGAATGATAAAACTTACAAATGGTAAAAATGATAAAGTGATTAATTTTGTTTTTGGAATGATCGTAAAATTTTTATCTCTTTTAAAGCGACAATTTTTTGCAAAGGACTACTTTAACAATATATCTAAACTAAGTATGTCGAAATTATCATTTAACAAAATGACGATGGTAATACATCTCACTTATGCATGCATATTAACTGAACTATTTTAGCAAGATGACTATGACTTATGTCTTCCTTGCTAATTATCATTGCTTAACAGATAGATTAAATTTCACTCTTTGTTTCTTCCACTATATCAGCAGTTAACCTCTTATCTTATTTTACCTTAATTCTTAGATTAAGTGATAATTTGTGCTCCCCGAAAGTTTTTCCACAGGATTTCTCATTTCTGGTTTATACTAGCAAATAAGATAATAACTTTTTGTTTTTGCGAATGGAAATAGCAATGAATGCCATCGAAATTCTAAATTAATCAAACCAAAGTCTGACAAATATAAAAGTTCTCAATAAAATATTTACCAGTTATATCATTTATCTATAAATCTACAGCTGTTTCAATCTAGATTATTGTGATTCGAGCTGGAAATAAGCAAAAGAATGGTACTTAAGAATACTAATCCGATTCGCTAAGTCTTATTTTATCAACCGTTAGAAGTATAGTAATTTATAAATAATTTTTCTTATTGTTACGATCATGAAAAATGGTCAAAAATGTTGAAGTATATTCATTTAAAATGCAATAATTTACATGATTGATAGTAATTGCTCATGTAAAATATTAATAAAATGACAGTTAAAAGTATGTATTGGTGATAAATGATAAGTGGGAACCTGATTGATAAATGATAAATAAAAATAAATGAACCATTAGTTGAGTGAACTCTTGTCATCCAAGGATATACAGCAACATTATTTTTATCATTTTCATCGTCATCATCATCATCCTCTTCATTTATATTATTACTATTATTATTAGCTTTATTATGATGATTTTTAGTTCGATTATTATTTTTAATCCATTCCGTATTGTTATAACCACAAGATGATGGGCTCTGAAATAAAATTTATACAGTTTTTTATTGAAAATTTGTGAAGAGAAGGATGAAAAAGTCATTATTTTTGATTCATAGCTCTAAATTCAGTTCGAGTACCACGAATTCGATTCCTGCTTCGTGAAATTTGTATT